AAAAATCCTCATGCAGCACGTGTGTGTGAAGCAGAGATGAGAGCAGAGGTTCCGCCCAGATGGGTTCTGCTCCACCAGGCAGCCGGATCCAGTTCAAAGCAACACACCTGAATGCCCAGTGTTGGGGGCTGAGCAGAAAACACAGCCTTGCTTGGATGTGCTCCATGTCTGCTTCCTAACAGATGCTTTATTTTATGCAATGTAGCGTGGATCAATACACTGTTCCTTCTTCATGGCCGAATAATATTCCACTGCAGGTGTGATGTAGGTTAACACATTTGTCTGGCCCCCTCTACTTTCCTTAAAATGAAATCATGGATGCTACTACTTACAGACAGATGTAGTAAAAGCCATGTAGTGTCCACATAATGCAATTTACCATAAAATGACACTCCTTTGAACATGTCAATGCTTGGACGTCCGCCTCCCCTGGAGAGGGTGAGAAGGTAGGACGCTTGCCCCTGGATACTGGGATCCCCCAAGAAGAGGCCGGATGCCAAAAAAGATGGTGCCACCCAGTGAGCTGGTAACTCAAATGCCATGAGCTGCTGCCCACTGTGAAATTTCCCCAAATGGTGAATAACCCCGCCGATTTTTTATTAATGCGATGGTCGCTTTGCCTGGAAATTCACTGTCCCGCCTCAATGCGTGAACACACCTGAGTCCTAGGCTAGGACTAGCTGCAAACGGGATTCTCCTCAAAGTGGGAACTGAGAGCCGGACACTAAGAAGTCGTGAGAGGGTGTGGGAAGAGTCTCCACGGGGCTCCCTTGTCCTTTGTAGCAAATCTAACATGCTGGCCTCCCCCTTGTGCAATGCCAATGGGAGGGCTGTCTACGCAGGGTACCCCTCCCCACCTTGCCCTGCACCCTGCAGAGAACCACTGCCACTTAAAAGCACCGGGATATTGGAAAAGGGTGCCAGACCGTCAGGTCCCCATGCCTTGGGACCAGACCCACAGGGCAACGTGACCCACACCGGAAAGACCCTTGGCAGCCTTCAAACTGTTGGATCTCCATCCTCTCGTCCGAGTCTTAAAACCCACAGAAAGACCTGCTGAACAGGACAAGACACTCTAGACCCCAGAGGGTTAACCGTTGGCCCAAATGATGCAACGGGCAGTAGACATTTCGCGCTGTTATCTGCAAATCAAAACAGCGTCCGCCTTAAACAGATGCAATTTAAATCAGTCGGTGACACCTCAATAAAGCCACAGAAAAACACAGCGAATATTCCTCCCCTGAGAAAGGTGTTCCTCTTAGTTCTCATTTTATGTTTTTTTATTTCCCCCGCTGGATATTTTGAACAAAAATGTTTCACTGTATTCCCAAATCTGGCAGTTCACGCCGGTTCCGGGTGAATTAGCAACAGACGTCCTTTTTAATGCATTCTTGGACCCGTGACAGGAAAACGATTACTTTTACTTCTATGTACTTAGAGATTTTTCAGTAAGCCGTGCGCTAGCGAGGAACCACGCAAGTAAGGACCGAGCTATGTCATCTGTGAGATGCGCCCCACGCGACCGAGAGAAGCGAGGACGTGACAACTCGAAACAGGAAAAGTGGAAAGTTAAGAGCATGCGTGGAGTCAGAAAGTTGGACACTCCGTCCCAGAATGAAGGCAAGGAATTATTAAGAAAAAAAAAGGAAGGAATATACACAATCACTAACCACCAGACGTTGTAAGTTAGCGATAAACGTGAAGCTCGGTGTAAAGTTTATCTACGAACCTGAGAAGGCGCTTCTCTGGCGGGAGTCCCAGAGACCAGAGAGTTCCCGGGCTGTGTACTGTGCACAGGCCCCCCCCCCCCGCACACGGAGAAGTCCGGGAGGTCCTCGTGGCTGGGCTCGTGTTGGTGCCTCTGTGGCCATCAGTAAGCAAGTAACGGATTTGGACCCAGTCTCTATGGTTTTGGTGTCCAGGTGACAGAAAAGACAACTCCAGCGCATTTCTCTGCTGAAGTGATGAATGCAATGACTACGGAGCTTGGACGGAAAACCACACCTGGCAAATATCTTCCCCGGGGCTCCCCTCAAACAGAACACGTACGTCTTGCCGTCTAATCAGCAAAGCCGGGTGTAGACGAGGCACGTGCTAGGGTCATCACTCGACGGACGAGGAGTCGGAAAGACAGACCGAAAAGCTTGAGGACGGTGCCCGTTGGACCCACCCACCTGGGAGGCGAGCGTGGTGCTACCTCCCTGACCCATGGGTCAGCCAAGAAGCCTCCCCAGTCCTGCCTCGCAACCCGTCCGCCTTGGAGGAGCCCCGGGCACCGTGCACGGCTGTGTTTCCCGACAGCCACGATGAGCGCTGTTTCTGACGCAGACGCCCTCAAAATCTGGCTGGCGCCGACACAGAGGAAGCTGAAACTGGGTCGTAACCCACAGACCAGGCTCCGCCGCGCTCACTGCTTCCCATTAAAAGTGCGTCTTCCCACATACGGTGACATCCCCAGTCCCCAGGCGTTAGGACCTGGTATCCTGGGGGCTGTCAGTCACCCCACCCCAGGCAGCACGCTCCTGCAGGACCAGAGCACCGTGCCCTCACCCTGGAGCTGCAGTGCCCCAGGGTGGAAGGTCACCCATCCTGGTGCGTGCGCAGCGCCCCCTCCCGGGCTCCCCGACCGTCGGCGACAGGCGCAAACCCAGGACCCCCATGCCTGCCACGCCACGGACGCAGCCCTCACTCACCCGGCGGTGCACGGGTCCCTCCGGTGGCTGGAAGCGTCTCTGAGCCGTGAGGAGGCTTGCGGTCCGATGCGGAGGGAGTGCGCCCACGTCTCCGAGATCACGTTCAGTCTCTCCTGTGCTGGGCTGGTGACAGAAGAGCTGCCATGCAATTAGGAGGAGCTATCGGAGGCCAGGGTCCTACAAGGTCCAAACGGTTCTTGGAGCCCATCTTAGCCCAGGGACTGTGGCGTCTTTCAGGAGCCAGGAAGCTGATTCTCCCAGTGACGGAGGAGGCTGGGGTGGCCAGCAGTCACCGCGCCAGCCCATCCTGAGCCTGTACTTGGGAACAACCTTTGTGATGACGGTGACAGTGGCTAGCACAGCTGCGACCATGACCTCAGGCCATAAAGAGCTCTCGGATGACATGCAAACCCTCCAAAATTGGGGTCTCTCCAGAGGTCAAGATTCTGCTTCTCGGGACACAGTCCTGGCTGGCAGAAATATTAAGGCGAGGCACGTGTCCATGTTGGGTTCACCGTAGGAAGTAATTCTGGTTCCGAAACACATCAGTCAGCACGGTACGGCTTCGCCAAACACCTGAGCAGCCCCGGGAGGCGTCGGCAGCACAGGGCTGGAAGCCGCGGTCTGCATCTGCCTGGCTCAGGGGGTCCTGAAATGCGCCTGAGAGGCAGGAGGACTTGAGGATGTCACAAGGAATGCTGATGCCCCGAGGAATGAACTCAGGAGTTTTGTGGCCGGCAGGGCTGAGCACCTGCCATTCGCATGGCCTCCCCCCAGCGCGCAGCCAAAACCCACCAGCCTTACTGGACCTTAGGGGAGAGCTTCACCACCAAGGCCAGGCTTGAGTGCATCGACGGTATGATGGGGAAGAGAGTGCCCTGGGAGGAGGGGGTGTCCTTACTGGCTGCACACTGGCTCCTGTTTCTTGAGGCTGGAGCAGAGAAGACTATGGCACACGCAGTTGAGGGCAAAATGAACGTATGCGTCCCTCGTTCACGCTGCATTAGCAGTTCCAAGCTGGCGACAACAGAGCATCGAGCCAACAGGCGCCCTGAGGAGCCCAGGGTCCCAGGTGGCCACGCGGCTCCCTGGCCCGGGAAGCCAGCCCTGGGGACGTGCAGAGGAAGCTATCGCCGCCACGGCATCCCGGGTCACCAGGAGAGGAGCGGGCGTTTCCTGGGATTCCAGCGCACCCTGTTCATGCAGCATGTGGTGGATTAAATCCTAATGTCTACCAAAAAGGTGCGAGCGTGTCCTAATGTCTATTGTGATATAGATACATATTTTTTTAAGTTGAAGTACAGTCCGTTACAATGTGTCCGTCTCTGGTTGCACAGCACAGTGTCCCAGTCATGCACATACAGACATACATTCATTTTCATATTTTTGTTCTTGTTGTTACTCGTGGATATGACTTTGTTGGCAAAAAAAGGGTCTTGGCAGATGTAATTCATGAAGGATCTTCAGTTGAAGAGGTCATTCTTGATTATCCAGGTGGAAGGGAAGGACCTGAGAGGAGGTCCTCCTGGAGGAGGGGGCCCTGCATCCAAGGTCAGTGTCCTCAGAAGAGACAGAAGAGGAGAGACACAGACACAGAGGAGACGCCACGTGGCGATGGAGGCAGAGATGGGAGGGAGGCGGCCACCAGCCCAGGGATGGACGCCTGGAGCCCCCAGAAGCTGGAGGAGGCAGG